GCTCAGGCGATCCTTCCACCTCAGTCTTTCAAGTAGCTGGAACTACAGGCATGTGCCACCATGCCCGGGTAATTTTTTTTTTTAATTTCTTGTAGAGACAAAGTCTCACCAAGTGCCCAGACTGATCTTGAGCCCCTGGACTCAGGCAATTCTCTTGCCTCGGCCTCCCAAAGTGCTGGGATTACAAGCTTGAGTCACTGTGCCCGGCTATTCTTAAATTTAGCTTTGATTTTGACTTTTCATTAAAGAACTTGGTCATATACTAAATACTGACTGTGATCTACACGTGTGTATTACCATGAACATTAAAAAGAATTCTCAGTGGTGGCCTGCCTAAGACTATTTTACCTTATGTTAAGGAAGTTAGGTATTTAAAATGTCACATCTGCATGAAGCTTAACATTACTCATTTTTACTAATGAAATAAAGATAGTTTACTTTAGATGGTCCAAGAGTTAACTATAGTTTACAAAATATAAGCAAAAGTGTACTTAATATATTAGGTAGAAATTTTGTATATTAAGCAAAAACTAACATCCGGCAATAAAAATCTATTCTTTACAGACAACATACTTGAAGTTTTTTGGTAGTTCCTGAAAATATGGTCATTCAAGTTAGCTGTCTAGGAAAATGTTATCAATTGCTTTTTATTTATAAAGAATGCAAAAATAAAAGTAGATTTTTGGCAGTCCTTAATAAGCTTCAAGTGCCTTTATTTTTTAATCCGAAATATTCTTTCATAGAATTGCTGTAAACAAGAGAAGAAAAGTATTTTAACTGGGTAACAATATTGTCTCTAACTGAAACTTACGAGAGGTGATTTTAAAGATACAAGTCATTAAGGAAATTAACATTCAGAATATTTAAATAATCCCTTATTGTAAATATTACTAATTTTTGTTTTTGAGTCAGAGTCTCTTGCCCAGACTGGAGTGCAGTGGCACAATCACAGCCCACCACAGCTTTGGACTTCTGGGCTTGGGCAGTCCTGCCTCAGCCTCCTGAGTAGCTAGGACTACTGGCAAGCACCACCACACCCAGCAAATTTTTTGTAGAGGTAAGGTCTTGCTATGTTTCTGGAACTGGCTTCAAACTCTTGGGCTCAAGCAGTCCTCTCTTCTCAGCCTCCCAAAGTGCTGGGATTATAGACGTGATTATATTTATATTAGGCACCCAGCCTATTATTGCTCATTTTTCTAGTGAAAGTTACATTTGTGCTTTAAAATAGAGACAGAGTCTCATTATGTTGTCCAGGTTTGTCTTGGACTGGGCTCAAAAGATCCTCCCACCTCGGCCTCCCAAAGTGCTGGGACTATAGGCATAAACCTCTGCGCCCAGCCTGAAAACTATAGTTTTTGAAGGGCATTAATGTCAGAAGCTACTTTTATCTTCTTTAACACTGCCACACCCTACCTTCGTGGTTCACTTTTATCAATAGTTTTTTGTTTAACATTTATAAACCACACAGATTTCTGGGGTGTATTGCATTGTAAATACAGAAACCAATGCTTCCATTAAGGTATTTTAAAAGTATCATATTTCTATAAGACTTTCTGGCTGTCCAAATCTAGATGTTCTGAGATGTGTATTCAGTTAATACTCTCACCAAACCAGCATCTCTTGCAGCAACTCTTCCTACTTAGCTTAACATTTTTCCTACTTGGGGGCTAGTAGGATTTATACCAATAATTCTCCATCCCTGTCATAGTTCTTATTATTGAGTCGAGGTCTCTGTTGCTGTTACATTCTGATGCAACAACCAACTGCTTACTTTTGCAGCCAATGAGATACAAGAGCAGAAAACTGGGAGAAATGTTGATTCTGAATTCAAAATTCAGAAAAAAGAATTGCTATATTTACCAGGGCTAGTTCAAAGCAACACAAACTCATTTCAGTATTTATAGGAAAACAAGCATTGTCTTATCTGTCTTAACTATTGATTAATAGTAATTACATGTGACCACTATTTAGTATCTAATCAGAGTTTAGACCCCAAGCAGTTGCTGACATAAGCCAGTGTTCACATTGCATCAATCCTGCCATTCTTTCAAGTTACAATGACTTTGAACAGCTTGGAGTTGCATACTTCCCAGTTGGTGTCAGTTGTTGGCTTATAATAGAAGTTTTGGCTCACAAGACAGCCAATAATTAACATTACATATAAAGGGACATAAAGGCATAAAAGAAAGCAGTTATTTAAAAGACTAAGAGACCATACATTCTTGGGGTTTTACAGAGTTTGAAGAGAGCCCATTTCTGATTTTTTTTAATTATAAAGATGTGGGGTACAATTCAGCATTAGGTATACAAACGTTGATTATGCAGGTACCTTTGTTGATGAGGTATGCCCCTCCCTCCCCTAGCAGTTTCCCTCAACTGCCAATCCCACGCCCTGTACCCTGACAGTTTCCCATTACTGCCAAACACTTTCTTATAGTTTTATAATTATTCAAGTTTTGCTTATGAATGAGAATATACGGCATTCTGTTCTTTGTTTCTGTGATAGATGACTGAGTATGATCTACTCCAAATCCATCCAAGTTGCTGCGAAGTCCATATATTTGTCCTTTATGGCTGCATAATATTCCATTGTGTATATGTACCACATTTTCTTTGTCAACTGCAGCTTCGATGCATAACACGGTTGGTTCCATGTTTTTGCTATTGTGAATAGAGCTGCAACAAACATACGTGTGCAGGTATCTTTTTTGTAGAATGATTTGAGTTCTTCTGGGTATATTCCCAATAGGGGAATTGCTGGGTCATATGGAAGGTCAATTTCTAGTTCTTTCGGAAATCATCACACTGTCTTCCAAAGAGGTTGCACTAGTTTGCATTCCCACCAGCAGTGTAGAAGCGGTCCTTTTTCTCTGCATCCTCGCCAGCATCTGTTGTTGTTTGTTTTATTAATGATGGCCATTCTTACTGGGGTTAGGTGGTATCTCAGTGTGGTCTTGATTTGCATTTCTCTGATGATGAGTGAGGCTGAGCACTTTTCCAAGTGTCTGTTGGCTGCCTGTATATCTTCTTTTGAGAAGTGTCTATTCATGTCTTTTGACAACTTTTTAATGGGGCTGTTTGTTTTTTTCCTTTTGGCACGTTTGAGTTCCTTGTAGATCCTAAATGTTAGGCCTTTGTCAGATAGAGTTGGCAAATATTTTTTCCCATTCTGTGGGCTATCTCCCTGCCCTCTTGATGGTTTCTTTTGCTTTGTGGAAGCTCATAAGTTTGATGAGGTCCCACTTGTCTATCTTATTTCTTAAGATATTGGCCTTTGGGGTTCTGAATAGAAATTGGTTGCCAGTTCCAATTTCCATAAGGGCATCTCTTCATTTTCTAAGATTCTTGTACTTTGAGGTTTTACGTTTAGGTCTTTGATCCATTTAGAGTTAATTTTTGTGTATTGAGATAGGTAGGGGTCCTGTTTCAATCTTCTGCATGTGGTCAGCCAGTTTTCCCAGCACCATTTACGGAATAGGTTCTCCTCTTCCCAGTGGTTGTGGTTGGAGTTTTTGTCAAAGATGAGTGGGTTGAGGAATTGAGGCTTTGCTTCTGGAATCTCTATCCTGTTCCATTAGTCTATGTGCCTGTTTTTGTACCAATACCAGGCTGTTTTGATTACTGTAGCCTTATAGTAAAGTTTGAAGTCCAGGAAGTGTGATACCTGCTGCTTTGTTTCTTTTGCTAAGAATTGTTTTGGTTATTCATGGTCATTTATGTTTCCATATGAATTTCTATATTGTCATTTCCAGGTCTGAGAAGAATGATGTTGGTAACTTAATGGGTATTGAGTTGAATTTGTAGATTGCCTTTGGTCGGATGATCATTTTAATGATGTTGATTCTTCCTATCCTAGAGCAAGGAATACTTTTCCATTTGTTTGTGTCTTCCTGGATTTCTTTGAGCAGTGTTTTGTAGTTCTCATTGTAAAGGACTTTCACTTCTCTGGTTAGGAAGATGCTGAGGTATTTCGTTTTTTGTGTGTGGCTATTGTGAATGGGATTGTGCCTTTTATTTGGGTCTCTGCCTGCTTGTTGTTGGTATGTAGGAATGCAACTGCCTTTTGCACGTTTATTT